ATCAGTCTATGAGAAACAAAACAACTACAGCAGATACTATTGCCAAACAGATAAATAGTAGTGAAGCAACTTCTTCTTTTACAGCAACCGAAATTCCAAATATTCGTGTTGAAAACTCTTCCAAAGTTAATCATAATTTACGACCAATTCAGTTTATTAATTGTACTGTCACTAATTTAAATGTTATTGACAAATAAAGTTGTTCATTGAAAATCTAAAATAAATACATTTGTCGTAAATAAAGTAGAGTATACTACTCGCAATAATGGCTATTATTCTCTCGGAATGTTACTCCCTCGCCGCTAACGCGGCTCGGTTCGTAAAAATTCCTCGAGAATAATAGCTATCATTATTGACTCGTGGTATAATCTACTATTATTCAAAATTTTGACAATATAAATTGAAAAGTTATACATATTGGTATTGAATATTCCTATGGTTTAATTTGTGGCAATTATAGACACATCTTCTCATATTTAGTGAAGTTAGTGGCTTCAATAAGATGATTTTATAAAAAATAATCATTGTTCAGCAAAACATATATTTAACCTAAATACTTACCTTTGGTACAATATATAATGTTTTCAAACTTACCTGTCAATAAATCTGTACAACAATAAACAGGGTATCAGAGGAGAACAAATTAGTAGAATAAAAATTGCAATAATTCTTCATAATTATATTCAATTTATTAAAAAAATATAATTGTATTGTCAATCCTACATATAAAAGTTATTTTCCAATAAAAAAAATTCTAAATATCCCAGCATCTTGATATTTTGAGTTTGGACCAGAATATCCATAAAACATTGATGAAATAAACAGATTGAGTCTAACCTTATTGCTTCTATATATTCATTTCAGATGGGAAATTTTCCATTCTGTTCTCAAACATCATCATCCTTCTGGTACATTTCTTCTAAACATTACTCACATAATAATTCCTCATGCGATTCTTCCACATCAATCTGTTTGTATCACTCATAGTTTTTCGTTTTTTAACTGAAAAGCTATTCATGTAGGTACTCTTCGCTGTAGGTAGGTATCTGAAATTTTCAAGTATAGTGAATCCGATGTGTACATAGTTTACATAACTAAAGACATGTTTTCACTGCAAATAACGGAATTTCATGAATTATATAGTAACTTATCAAAAATATAGAAGGAAATAAGCAGCCCCTACCTTTCTGCTTGGCTTGCATGTCGAAAAAGTGTGAAAAATGAGTTTCCGAAGTTTCCACAGTTCCAACTTAAATTCAAGTTGCATCATAAGTCAACCTAATACAGCATTGCCTAAACATCTCCCTGCTTCCATTCAAGTATAGGTATATGGTTTTCATACTTGATAATATCTTTCATGATAATGTTTCATTTTTGGGTTTCAACATGACAGATTTTTATTTACAAACTTGACAGGACCATGAAAAATGTTTGGGTTAGGAATAAAAAAGGAATAACTTAGTTTACTTGGTTCACATTGATGTCTCTGTACTACTGAACGCCTTCATTTATTTTTTCAAAGAACAGACAATATTATGCTCTCGCCTACTAACTACCTAACTAGGTTTCCATTTAGATCGACAATGGAAAAAACACTCCAAGCACAAATATTTTTCACAAACCAAACATCTAGTTTTGGTCTTGGATGTTATCGGTTCTTGGCCACTTTCCTGCCATGAAGACTAACATTTTTTTTTTGAAAGCATCCAGAACTGATCTGCTTCTTGCCAGTTTAGGAGGTTTATGCAAGTCTCGACAAGAATTTAGCGGTGGGCGTGTTTGACCCCCCCACCTCAATTATGGCTTTTCCGTAGGTATTACTAGGGCCGCGGTGGGTCAACCTAATCCACCAATTTCAAAATACGTTTTTTGGCCCTAAATCCAAAAATTCTTCAACAAAAAGTCTAACGATCACTTTATTACTGGTTTTCGGTGAGAAAATGATAATAACAGTATTTGGCCAGTGGGGCACATTTTTATCATTTATATGGTGGCACTCTAGGTGTTATGCCATATTGAATAAAACAATTATTGATTATTATTGCTCTGATTCTCATCTAGTAGGCATGTCGTTCTGCTGATTCAGACCTTATGTAACAATTGATATTGTGATTTTGTTGATAATCACTCGTGATCTTATCAATTGAGTTGATTCAGTAATTCTATGAATAAAAAGATAAATGTTCTCCTCGAAATCGATATCTTATCGTCGATATCATCGTAGTATTATTATACCTAGGATAATGTTGCGAAAATTGCTATATCGTTTAGCTCAAAAAATTAAATATGTGAATATTTAGAAAACTGCAATCTTTCGATGTACTAAAGGTACATGATATCAGATGGAAGAGAATGAAGAAGGAAAAACATTTCTACTGGAATATACAGGGTGGTCCATTTGTAAAGACAAAGTTACGACGATAGGGAAGGGTCAACATTGGCTGTTCATTATAAATCACCCTGAAAGATAAATCTTGATGGTGACTTCATTGAAGCGATTGTCGAAGAGTCATCGAAGCTCTTGCATAATTTTGGATAGAAATTTTGAAAATGATGAAGAAATTGAAGATATCATAAACTCCTTAAATTCAAGAAAATCTCCAGGTTTTGATAACATTAGTGTAAGCATTGTAACGACTGTTAAATATGAAATATCATCGATCATTTCAAAATTGATAAATTTATCTTTTTCATCAGGGATTATACCTGAAAAAATGAAAATAGCGAAAGTTAAACCAATTTATAAAAGTGGATCAAAGGATGATATGGAGAATTATAGACCTATTTCCTTACTACCAATCATTTCAAAAATAATGGAAAAAACAATGAATAACAGACTGCATGATTGTTTAGAGGCAACAGAATATCTTTACAACCATCAATATGGCTTTCGCAAATCTTGTGACACAGAGTCAGCTGTGTTGTGACAGAATTTCAAATGCAACTAGATGCTAATAAGATGTGTGGACTTCTGTCAATAGATCTTCGCAAGGCATTTGATACTGTGAATCATGAAATTCTCCTCAATTTGTTATACCAACTTGGCATAAGAGGTATAGTTCATAAATGGTTTCAAAATTATTTGAGTGGTAGAAAGCAATTTGTTTATCGAAGAACAGTTTCAAGTACAGCTAAAGAAATTATATGTGGAGTACCACAAGGGTCAATCTTATGCCCTGTTTTATTTTTGATATATATCAACTCGATTGTTAACATCAAATTGAAAGGAAAAGTTTACATGTTCGCTGATGACACTACATTGATTTATTCCGCAGACTCAATCCAACAAATCAGAAATGCAATTGAAAGTGACTTGATTATTTTATCTTCATGGTTGTCCTATAATAAATTGAGTATAAATTACAGCAAATCAGCATTCATGTATATCTCTAAACGACGCCTCTCAAGTGAACTAAAATTTGATATCAAATTTAATAATGAAATCATCAAATATTCCACAGCCATCAAATTCCTTGGGATATTCCTTGATGAACATTTGTCATGGTCCAAACATATTGAATCGATCAGAAAGAAAATATCTCCAGTAATCGGAGTACTCTACAGGATCAGACACCAAATCACTTTGAAATACTCAAAATGTATATATTTTTCCTTGGTTTATTCAAAATTTCAATACTTGATTTCAGTTTGGGGTACAGAGCTAGAGGTTATCAATTATAAATCCAATCAAAATCCTTCAAAACAAAGTTATTAAATGTATATACAAACTAGATTACTTGGAACCAACAAGAAATCTTTATAAACCTAGGCAATTGTTAGATATAAACTCCATTTACAAATTCAAAATATTGTATTTCATCCATTCCGTCAAATATAATTATAAACATTCAAATCTGAAATTTGAAGTCAATAGTCATAAACACGAACACATAACCAGACAAAAAGATATGTTAACTCTCATCAAAATTAAATCAGATATGGGTAAAAGATCTATTTTATACAATGGAACAATTCTCTATGATGAATTACCTGCCAGACTAGAGGAAAAATTAAGTGTTGAAAAATTCAAAAAAGAACTGAAAAAATACTTATGTCTTTGATTCTCTTCATGTCATCCTGAATCAATTCAAGAAATTATATTTAACAGTCTCTAGAAGAAACAACATTATATGTATTATGTATATGATTCAAAAATGATTATCTGAATATCTAATTTTTGTTTTTTTAGTTGCTCTTTCATAATTTTCCCTGCTATAAGCATGTATGTTTCTTTGGAATGATAATAAAGATAATCTGTGTATTATAATTTTTCGAATTAATTTCAATCAACTTAGAAACACTGGTAGAGAATTGTGAAAACAAGACATGGCAGCTCGTGTTCACAAAATGATGACAAATCTGGATATGTAGAGAATACAGGGTGTTCCATTTCAAAAATTCCTTATTCAGTAGCATTGCGTTCGAGAACACCCTGTATCAATCCAATTTTTTGTTATTTGTTATCCTCACAATATTTGATTTATATATTTATCGAAGTATTGACAGGACTATGAAGAAAAATTGTTATTTATTATTCAATGGAAAAAAGTAGTACCAAGATTTTAGCTTCAGGTTGTGTTGTCTCCTGTCGCGTAGCGAAAAAAATCATTGTTAATGTCACCTGGTAGTATCTGATAAATTATTTCATTTGTATTTTTTCAGAATCGGATAGTCAATAGCAGCGCTATGACTTTTATCAGTCAGCCTGTAGTTATTAATTTTATTCTAATGCCTCAGGTAACAATAGCGATGAATGAATTCCTCAGTCTGTATCATATACGTAGGTTAATATGAAACATATTATAAAATTTGAAGAGGAAGTGCTAACGAACATTCTACGATAAGGCAAGGACGGTATGAAATCTCGCCCACTTCAACGTCAGCAAAACTTGATCCAAATATGCTTCAATACCCATATAAAAGACCAACCGAATTTAGTGATCGATATCAGTTTACGTCAGTCAGTCTCAAGACTCGCAACACAGACCTATTTCTTCAAGATGTTCAAATTGGTGGTGTTGTCAGCTCTCGTAGCCGTAGCCGTAGCTAAGCCCAGCGGTGTATTGCACTCCGCAGTGGTGGCTCCATCTTTGGCATATTCCGCCCACATCGTGGAATCAGTGCCAGCAGCAGTGAGTCATTCCTACAGGAGTGACGTCATCAACGAACCGATCATAGCCGCCCGTACTGTCGTAGCCGCCCCCAGTGTAGTAGCTGCCCCAGTAGTCCACCAAGTCGTCGCTCCCGTTTCCTCTGCCGTCAGCCACCAGTACAGGAGTGACGTCATCAGCGAACCCGTCGTGGCCGCTTATTCCGCCCCTGTCGTCCAGAATGTGGTGGCCCCAGTGGCGGTGTCTTCGGGGGTGAGCCACACTTACAGGAGGGACATCGTCAACGAGCCAGTTGTGGCTGCATACGCTGCTCCCGTATTCAGTCACGGCGTTGTTGCCGCTCCCGCTTTGAGTTACGCAGCTCATGTTCCAGCTGTTCAGGCTTGGTGAAGAGAGGACTGACACTTTGACTGTTCCAAAATTTTGTATTTATTTTCTAAATTGATGAAAAATTAATAAAATCAGTTTTTCTGTGAATCATTCTTTTCATTCGAAACCACGTGTATATGAGTATGAGCTGATTGTGATCCTCCTTCCATTGTTATTGTAGTACTCTTCAGTTCTTTCTGAGAGAGGTCTACTTGTTTCGTAATGAAAATGACCAATATTCGCAGAGATATAGAAAATATTAGTGATCCGTAGTTATATTTGTGAACAGTTTACTTACATACATATACCTACATAGATATTTACAACAACATTATGTAATTTGTCAAACATAATTAGGAGAATAGATAATAGTTAGTATCAGTATAAATATGACTCCTCGGACTCCTCAAACCATAATTGACTAAATATATTCCATACCACCATCAGTGAAAGTGTCCTCGTGGACACTCTCTTTTATCACCGTGGTTTTCCTGTGATGATATGGAGACACCATCACCGATGCTACTGTCTTCTTGGCTAATGGAACATGCACCACTGGAGTTATCGGTACTGCTGGTGCCACCAAAACGGATGTTGCCGCTATTGGAGTTATCATCGAGTGCCCTTCATGAAGTGAAGGGATCACTGCTCTTGGATTTGTGATCACGTGAGTGTGTCTGAACCCTGGAAATGAAAAATTGTTTCGAATAGTCGGTCAAATACTACGAATAGGTATCAGTGAACTTTGAACGCATACTATGCAAGAGAAATGTCATGCTCGCAAACAGGATCAAGAACATCTTGAAAAGTACCTCTATCGGTAGTGTGATGCACAATAATGCTGTTCCGTTGAAATGTTGCTTTTATTAATTGTCATTATTATTCCAGATTTTTTGGGGTTTTCTCTCCTCGTTTCAATAAAATGAAAATATGGATATTATTTCAATATATAGTAAGTATTAAGTAGTATGTAAGTATTTATTCAGTTAATATGACAGTTAATATGACAGAGCACAAGAGCACAATAGGAAATGTGTGTAAAAATATACCATTAACGTAATATCAGTTACAAACATAATGTAGTAGCTGGGGATACAAATTTATAGAGAAGGAGATGCCACCTAAGCAAGCTTGTGTTGTGGCATCATCGTTCTCATTATATGGATACAATTCATTGGATGGAAAATGTAGACTAGTTCAACGAGAGCAAACATGTGTGGCCATTAAATGTTTTCCAGTATAGCATTTGAGCAATCAAAACTATTCTTCATGGAACATTTCAATTTTGGTTTAATTTTTTTGATACTGGTGATATTCTTCAATCCAGAGGATAATTGATTATAAAGTTTGGGTCCAATATATGTTACGAATCTCTGATTATGACGAAGTCTGGCAAAGGAGACATCAATATTCTGGTTTGTGTTGAGGCGGGTGTTATGTGGGTGTGTTTTAAAATTCAAGGGTGTGTTCATGATCCACAGGAGACAATGATAAATATAAAGTTTCTTCACATTGAAGACATCAGCTTCTTCGTACAATTTCGTGATGGAGAATCTTTTATTTTTCTTAAATAAGATTTTCAGTAAGGTATTTTGGACTGTCTCCAAATTCCACAATGTAGTTTTGAACGTTTCACCCCAAGCAATAATACAATAACGAATAATGGATTCTGATAGTGCGCTATAAATCATCATGAGAGTTTTTTTATTCAGAATATTCCTGAGTTGGTAAAATTTGTAGATCAATTTACGAAGTCTTGTTTTAGTGTATGTGATATGCTCGTTCCAGCAAGGAAATTGGTCTACCATAACACCCAGATATTTTATCGATTGAGTTTTTTTTACGGAGGGGCAATGACAATAAGTGGATGCATCACAGTTTACATTATGGATATGAAGGGTCTGAAGAGTGGGTTGATCTTTGGCCGTCGAAGAGAATGCCACGAATTTGGTTTTTTCGATATTGAGGCTTAGTAAACTATTACTGAGCCAGCTAGAAAATAATGCCATTCCCTTTTCAGCTTTATTGTATGTTTCATCCCAAGTGTTACCTAAAAAAGACACAGCGGTGTCATCAGCATAGGATGTCAAGTTACCGTCGACATGTTCAATAGAGAAAATACTGTTTATGTACAACAAGAAGAGGATAGGGCCCAACACTATCCCCTGTGGAACCCCCATGGTGACTGGTAATGGATCACTCAAAGAAGTATTCACCTTAACTACCTGCATTCTTTTCGAGAGATAACCTTTCAGTATATCCAATGACACGCTCCTGATTCCACTGCACTCCAGACGATTGAACAGTATTTCATGATTGACAGTATCAAAAGCCTTAGCCAGGTCTAAAAATACTGTCAAGCATTTTTGTTGATTTTGGAAACATTCAAATACTGAGTTTGTCAATTGAAATACTGCTGTTTCAGTAGAGAGGTTTTCCCTGAATCCAAATTGGTTATCCAACAGAATATTATTTTTAGTACAAAAATGGAGTATTCTGGACTTAAAACATTTTTCAAAAATTTTTGCAAAATTGTTTATTACAGTTATTGGCCTATAATTGGTAGCTTTTTTCTTGTCACCACTTTTAAATATTGGTGTTGTTGTTGACTCCTTGAACCGGGAAGGCACTATTCCACGACTAAATATCAAGTTCAAAATAAAACACATTGGTTCAACAAAGATTGTATGAAATTTTTTTAAAAGATACACAGAAATTCCATCGGGTCTCGATGAGGTATTATTTTTAAGAGACGATATAACGTCGACCAATTCGGATTTCGTTACAGGGTGTAAGAATAGCGAATCTTTGATGTTCATCTTTCTTTCTGGGGTAGATTGATCGGATTTCAATATTTTTTCTGCCATTGTTGTACCTATATTGGAAAAGAACTTATTGAAGTGATCTGCTGTTTTTTTATCCGTGTTTAGTTTTTTATTTTCATCATCATGGATGTTGAAGGTGTATGAGCCTGAAGATTTTTTGTTATGCGTAATTTCGCCGATACACTCCCAAATTTTTTTCGAGTTGTTCTGTGCCACTTCGATTTGGTTTCTGTAATATTGATTTTTTGTGGTCCTGAGGAGGTTTTGGTTATACGTGTAGTAAGGATCAGATGATGCCCCAAAATGTCACTGCGTTCAAATAATTTTCCTATCAGAGAGCCTAAAAGAGAAATTCACCAGCTTGTTAGTGACAAGTTGTATTGAAAAAGGTTTGGAGAAGAGAAATAGAGAAATATAGAATGCATATCACATTTTCACTTAGCTTTGGACGTTTCGGGAACGACTCTGCACCCGTTTTCAACAAAAAAAAAATGGATAATTGTATAGCAAATTCGTATTCGTCTTGACACTTCCCAGTTCTCAGTGACAATTGGTGACGTTGGCAATCAAAAGAGTTACAGGATGTTTTCCAAACTCAGAAATGATTACTTGATATTTCCTCAAAATAAAACAGCTGGCAACACAGGAAAAGGGATTATCACGTCAGTACTGACGCCGCCAAACGCTATGTTCGAACGTTCCATGATATTGTAGGGTATTCAAATGGTGTTTTAATTTTAAACTCTCTTTTGTATCTTGAGAAGTTACCTATCCAAATCTTGCCCAGACGCTACTTTCAAAAGATACACATTTTTTCAAAATGAAAATGTAACACTTATTGTACTACCATTGGAGCAATTGAAATTATTGATGAATCCAACTGGCTCCCAGTTAACCACACATGTCTCAGCTCTATCACAAGAGAGATCAGTCAAAGAACTTTGTTTCATCACACCGTTCTGAAACATGCAACTTGCATATAAAATATAACAGTGTTTCATCACATGTTCTATCAATGTGATAAATTGGAGGTATCCCAGGCGTCATCACAAAAGGAATCAATGAAAGAACTTTGTTTCATCACACGTTCTATCAACATGATAAAAGTGAGACATCCCAGGCGAGTCATCACAGAAGGGATCAATTAAAGAACTTTGTGTCATCACACGTTCTATCAACGTGATAAAATTGAGACATCCCAGGCGAGTCATCACAGAAGGGATCAATTAAAGAACTTTGTGTCATCACACGTTCTATCAACGTGATAAAATCGAGGCATCCCAGGCCTGATCACCAAGGAGATCGATTGAAAAACTTTGTTTCATTATACGTTCTGTCAATGTGACGAAATTGAGGCATCCTAAGAGTCATTACAGAGGAAATCAATTGAAGAAATTTCCTAACCTCACTTTTTCTGGTCCCTCGATTACCAAACGAAACTAATGTATTTGTTTATCGAATTTCAGCAGAACGAAAATAATCAGCTATCATTCACCAAAATCAACCTCTCTTATTCATCGGGACTGAGATTTGAGATGAATTCGAAGCCCTCTGCTGATGTAAGTGAATATAATAAAGTAATCATCAGTACCAGTACCAAGTAAGTAGTTATTCCAGCTGGGGTTCAAGAGACCAATTGTAATGCCAACAAAACTGCAATAAACATATCTCACTTCATCCTCTTCCTGAAATCGAAGGAACCTATAGAAGAATTTGAGGTGAGGTTATTCATATTACAGAAAAGGAAAATTATCAATCTCGATAGAGAAAGCATACAAAAGTATAGGTATCAGGTTCAACTTCAAGCAAGACCTCAAGTTAAAATTGATCATCATTCTGATGAAAACAGTTTTGGATTCTCTTCTGGCGAACACTAGCTGGTTAGGCCAAATGAGGGTTTTTACAAAAATGACAGGTGAATACTTGATTATTATAAATTTTTTTGTACTTGAATTTCATTTGTTCTAGTTGTAATCAGCTGGACTGAAGATTAAATATTATTTGTTCTAGTGGTAGTCAGCTGGACTGAAGATTTCCATGAAAAAATGTTTGGAGGGACCAATAAAAACGAAACAATGATCTCCCATGAAAATAAATCATCACTTTTATATGCATCACTTTGAAGAGATATAATCTGCAGGTGAAAAAATCCCACAGACTGAAATATTTGATGGAGTATGGAAGAAAAACTTATCA